AAAAAAAATTAAATTTGTAAAATGCATTATCTTTACTTAGAGTGAGAATTCTCCGAATTAAGTTTTCTGCTCGCCTAAGATGTACTGGTTATATTATCAATTTTGCGTATTACTTTTTTAATGTAGCTTTTTATGCTATTACATCCGTACATGTATTCTATCAGTCTAGGGCTAAGTGAATCGCTTGACGATGAACGTTATTTGTTTCTTACTGCTACCTTAACCGTTAATCCTATACCTAATCTGTTAAATCTGCACCTAACCTTTATTCTTATCCTTACCTTCTGAATTCAAGACTTAACCCTCTGTTCCTATCCTAAACTCCTTAATTCTACAGCTAATTTCTTCTTTGGGATGTGGGGTGTGGGTGTGGATGTGGGTGTGGGTGGGGCGTGGGTGTCAGCGTGGTTGGATGAGGCGAAGGTTAACACCCACACCCAACTCTTACATTAATTATTTGAAGGATATTTAAAGAGATAGTATACGAATGAAATTCAACTGACTGTACTATAACGACACATATCTTTTTTTCTTCTCAATGTCGTTTTTTTTCAAAAATGAACACAACATATAGGGGTCATTCACACTAGACGAATTAAATTTGAATTAAGAAATATGATTGGTGTTGCTATGTGGAAATATCAATCATATTTCTTAATTCAACTTTAGGGTGTGTGGGTGTGGGTGGTGTGTGAGTGTGGGTGTGGTGTGGGTGTGTGGGTGCTGTGTGGGTGTGGGTGGGTGTGGGTGTGGGTGTGGGTGTGGGGTGTGGGTGTGGGAGTGGGTGTGGGTGTGAGTGTTCTTCGAAAGATCCACACCTACATCCACACCCACACCCTTATTGTGCAGGCTCTGCAAAGAAAAAAATCATTAAATAGTATAGTCCATCGCAAGGATATAAAAAGTAGAGGTTTTTTTTACAGCTATGACATTAGCTGTCTCTGTCAGTCATGTTGAAGTAGACCGTATGGACCAGACTTTGAGTTTGGATGTCAATTGAAATGTAGCTCCCATTTCTAAATATTATTCGTAGCTAGATCAAATCGTTAGAGAGCATATATACATT